TTAATGTATCAGATTATTCACTTCAATTTTTTGTGTGTGCAAATTATTTCTCAGTAAGTCTGATTTTAAAAATTTAAAGAGAAAAATGTTTCTGTTTTTGCAAATCTCTTTAGTGACTTACTCCATAGAAACTATCTGGATTCTCACATTAGCTTCTGCATTTAAATTGTTGCCATGTGTTGATTTGGTAAAGGTGTATGAAAAGTATCCAGCCTGTGAGATGGGTAATTGATGCGAGGGGCAGTGTTTTAATAGATTTTTAGATACTTGTGGCTGTTCTTTGATACTGCACTAAAACTTGGCAAGCGTTATTTCAGAAAGCTTAGTTATAGTGGAATTTGAAGATATATTAATGAATTTTGAAGATATATTAATGAATTACTGAATTTTGTACTACTTTATTACATTAAAATTCACTCGTCTGTTGTGTACTTCGAATGGATCTTTTACTTAGGGATTATTTTGTAACATTATTTGTTGGTTATTTGAAAAATACTGATTTTTTGAGTTACAAATGTTTGCATATTTCATTTAAATTATATAATGTTAAAAAATAACAATCATTAACATCATCAGAAAAATTAAGTGGGAAACTCTCGAGCTCTTAGTGGTGGATATAAGTTATCTAAAATTCTGATTTTTCTACTGAAAGCTCTCATTTTTATCTTTGGCAGCAAATACTGTCACTTGTTTACCCTCAAGTGACAACTCAACTCATTCATTTTTGAGAAAATAGATTATCTAAGTCTGAATAATCATACTTTGCTGTTGTTTCAAGTAAAAGGCGTGTTCATTTAGAAAGTGACTAGCTCACAACTCAGTCACACAGATGCTTCCTCAGCATAGGTGCTTCCGGTGACTGAATGGTTTCATCAGAGAGGAGCAATAGAAGCACTTAGAGTTGACTGAGACCAAATTTGAGGTGAGTAGGGACCTTGAGGCAGGCAGCTCTTGGGGGAAGTTTTACTGTGTCAGAGAAAGCAGAGAAATGAGGTTGTAGCTGGAGGTGGGTGTTGGGTCCAGGGATGGTTTAATTTCTTTGTTATTTTAAGTATTCTTTTTAAGTTGGGAGATACTTAACCCAGTGGTTTTCAGATCTCTTTTGATTGCAACCCACAGTGAGAAATATATTTTATATCACTACTAACTGTATGCACACACATTAAGACTGAAATAAGTTTTACAAAACGATTTTTACCCATTCCATTTTTTTAAAGGTTGTGTTCAAATATTTTCAGATGATGTTCATATTCCCCCTCCTCGACTTTAAATGTCTCCAACATTAGAAAAAATTTTCCCCCCCAATTTTTTTTAATTTTGTAAAAGAAAATAATGTTTTCCATCATTTTTTCTCAAAATTTCTTTAGTGACTTTGAAAAAATAAAAGGAGTGGGATAATTGACTTCCCAAACCACTTGGTTATGCATATCCAAACCGTAATGCATAATGCATTCTACTCTTTTTTTTGTAAGTGAGGTCAAGTTACGGAGAGTTCCCATATATTCCCTGCTCTTGCACGTGCATAACCTCCCCAGATGTCAGCATCCTCACCAGAGAGGTACATTTGTTACAGCTGATGCACCTCCATTGGCACATCATAATCCTACTAAGTCCATAGCTTATTTTTAGGGTTCATTCCTGGTGGTGTACTTTCTGTGGGTTTTGACAGATGTGAGGTGACATGTTATCTACCACTACAGTATCTTACAAAGTATTTTCACTGCCCTAAAAGTCCCCTGTGCTCCACCTGTTCACGTCCCTTCTCCCCCACCCCCTCCCCGGGCAACCACTGATCTTTTTACTGTCTCCATTGTTTTGCTCTTTCCAGAATGTCACATAGTTGGAATCATACAGTGTGTCACCTTTTCAGATTGTCTTCTTTCACTTAGTAATGTACTTTAAAGGTTCCTCCATGTCTTTTCATGGCTTGATAGCTCATTTCTTTTTAGAGCTGAATGATACTCCATTTTCTGGATGTACCACAGTTTATTGATCCATTAACCTACTGAAGGACACCTTGGCTGTTCCCTCTTTCCAATTTTAGTGCACTCTGACACTTTTTATTCTATTCTTATATTTTATTTAAGAAAAATCTGGACCTAAGTTGTTTTCACAATCGACACTCTCAGTTTCTAAACCTCAGTCCCGTCCCAGCCTTGTTTATATGCCAATGGGAAAGATTCAGAAGAAGAGAGGGAGAACCTGATGATACAGCAAAGGATAATTACACGTATTGTATCACTGAGAAGTCCTTAGTGCTGGGATCCAGGGTGTAAGTTAGGGGTTGTCCTTTAACTGCAGCAAGGAAAGTCGTTTCATTTTAGCTACGAGGAAGATGGATCATGTGCACAGATGAAGTAACAGTAGTTGGGAAGATGACAGGCTGACTGTAGAACTTCTCTGTGTTTTCAAAGTCGTGTAAGGCCAGCTGAGGAGGGGCTGAGAGGGAGTGTTGGAGGTTTGGAGAAAGTGTGAAGTTGTCCTTTTAGAGACGTAGAGCAGAGTCTGCTAGAGAAAGGTGGAAGCTGTACGGTGGTGTTGAGTGCTCATTTGAGGGTTAGACCGTGAGTTTAAAGTGAGGAGAGTTCAGGGTTAAATGAAGAAGCCCTTAGTGAATGTGAGTCGTTACCGTTAGTCCGTTCTTCTTCCATGCTTAGCTGCCTGCGTGTCATAGGTGGTTGATGAAAAAACATGAGGTTTTTGGGAGACACTGACTTCAAACGCACACCATGACTTAAAGGAGTTGAGTAAGTTTCTCAGTGGCATCACTTTAGAGGCTCGAGTCTGTCCCACTGTTGGGCGCCTGGTTTTGGGCTCGTGCACCCCAGGTTTATGAGCAGACCCAGAGACTCTGCCTGTGAAAGCCAGTCTAAGGGAATTAAGGTGGTCAGGGCATGAAGGGCTTGACTTGGCTCTAGAGAAAATTGTGACATTTCAGCTTGGAGAGGCAGAAAGGGTGGTATGATTCAAATATTAAAAATCTTAAGAAGGAGTGTGACCTGGTTGAATGTGGGCTTATTCTTCAGCTCTGACAACTCTCTGAGCCACTTCAGACTTGTAAGAGGTAAACTCTGGGCATCTAACCAGCAGAACTGAGATTTTAAACTCTAAAGTTCTCCTTGCCAAATGGCAGAACTCCCAAAATGAGGTGAAGAAATGAGTGGGAACAATTTTATTAGTCATAATCTCTTGGCACTGTTCATCTTTTGAGCAGGGGTTATTGGCCCTCTGGGGCCAAAGCCAGAGCAGTGGTTGCCATTCACTTTTTGGTTTCCAGCCGAGCTGTAGGGTAATTAGATTTAAAAAGAAGATCTCCTTTAAACCTGGGACTTTATTACTTGAGAAGATAAAGTCATTAAGCCTCTTCAACTGTTAATGAGATTACTTTAGCAAGTTTCCTGAGTAATTCTTAAGCCCACAATCCGTAAGTGCACAATAGAGGAGCCTTTACTAGGAAAACAAGCCTAGGCCAGGTCTGATTAGATGATACAGACCCCATACTTCTGTGTCACCCCTGTGCCTATTACAACCTACATAATGATGTTATTATTAGCCCATTGATTCTGGGGAGCTGAAGAAGTACAAAGTACTTAGTCTCAAATGTGTAGAGTCAAATAGGACTTAAGAGAAATCACTTAGTTTGTATCCTGCATAGAATCTCACCTGTTTCTAAAGAGTGCATTTTTTCCAGTAATCTTTATGACCGGCTTATATTTTGCTGAAATTTTAACCAGTACCTTATTTATAATTTTCCGGACACTTTACAACCCAACACTTCAGTTTCACTGGGAGTTTTCATACACATACCATACATATAAATATATTCAAATCAGGAGTAGTCTCTCCCTGATGTCCAAAGAGCAGTCACGTGTGTGGATCTCCTTGCTAAACTGAAATGAATATGCAACTAGAAGCAAAGCTAGCTTCTTCCGCAGTGGGGGAGGGAAGTCCATTGAAATTTCACCAGACAGGATTTTGCTTGTCTAGAGACAAGCATTATTTTCCATTGCCGTCAGATGTCTACAATTTACAGAGCTGTAACATAGCTCAAAGGCAGTGGATGGCTGGAATCCTGGAAGGTCAGCTCTAGAAAATGGATGGTTTGCAACTGAAGCACTAATGTCTCCCTGAACCCAGTTATCCTTGGTATTGTGCTCTGGGGAAAATGCTGGTTACTGGATGAAAACAGTCTCAAAACTTTGTTTTAACTACTTGCAGTGTGATTCTTTCTAAAATGTATTTTTCAGGATTTACAGCATCATTTTGAACCATGACTTGAGTGTTTAAGGTTGCTAGATAAGTAAGTGCAGCCTCAGCTCTTTGAACCATGGTTCACAGTCACACATAGATGTCTTAAAGTCCACGCTCTAACAGTGAGCAGCTGCTGTTTATTGAGTAGATTAATGTACATTAATAATTGTGACCTAGAGGTCAGCCTTCGGTTATCTTCAGAGGTGTTTTAGTGGTAGTAAATGAAAACTGGTGTAATTGTAATATCCTTGGATAAGGTGGATTGGTGGTGGTGGTGGGTTCTTAGAGTGTTAAATGCATTCTGATGGGGAACAGGCAAGAAACGTGAAGGAAAAGGAGGAAATTGAAATGGATATTGTTTCTTTCTATAACCCGACTTTCCTAAAAGCTTCTGCTTCTACACTCCATTAATACTCTTCATCTTAGTACTCTGTTGTGTCTTGGAAATTAGAATGTTGTCTTTTGGATATATTTAAGAAAACAGCATCTTTCATGCTCTATCAAAAGCCTTTTTTGAAAAAGAGTGTGGGATTTGGGAAGAAACCTACAGCTGCAAACTAGGAATATCATGTTTCCACGTTTGTATCTGAGGACGGGAGAAGATATAAAAGCAGTCTTGGCAGCCCTCCTGCCCTTGTAAATTCACGCAGGTGGGCCCCGGGCGCTGTCCTTGAACAAGCTCATGTGCTTCCTGATGACGTATAGCTTGTGTAGTCCTTGCTTTACTGAGAAGATCTTTTAAATTTCAGGTAAAAAACATCAGAATGAATTCCAGCTCCTGGTGGATCAGGCCAAACAAGGATACAAGAAAACTGTTGGAACGTCCAAAAAAAAAGTAACAAGAAAAGATGAATGTACAGAAAAGCTATTATCTGTATGCGTGGGTAAGAGACTTTAATTAAAAACGGAAGTATATTGAAATTTACTGTGTTTAATTTAAAAGGATAATAAAACCAAGGGAATTTATTTTGGGCTTATTAGGTATTTGAAATGGGAAAAAGTATTTTTAGACATATAGCAGTTGTTAAATATAAACTAGGTTTATACCTCTGGGAAAAATGGTTGGGAAATGTCCTGAAGACACAGTTTCTAAAATCTGTCTTCCTTGCCGTTAATGATAAATCAGAAATTTCTTCATTGTTTAAGCTTGGGGTTGTTTTCCAGGTGTAGGACTTACTGCTGCAGATCCGCAGATCAGATATCCTACAAAGAGAATAAATTATTTTTATTGTAGGTCACTGGTGTTTACTTTGAATAGAATGCTCTGCTAAAATATCTAAAGCTGATACATAGCACATTCTTAATTTCAACCATTTTTTTTAAGCTCTTAGTTCTTCCTTTATCAATCTTAGTTTTATTTCATTTTGAGATGAGGTGGAGGTAATTAGGTTTACTTTTTTTGAAGGAGGTACTGGGGATTGAACCCAGAACCTCAGGCATAGTAAACATGTGCTCTGCCACTTGAGCTATACCCTCCCACTTCAACCAGTTTTAAAATTTGAGATTTTAATCATTCATAAATACACAATTCAGTGGCATTAAATACATTCACAGTTTTGGGTCACCATCACCACTCTACACCCAAAACTTTTTCATCCTCTCCAGCAAAAACTCTGTACTGATGTAATAATAACTCTCTCTTCCACTTCCCCCCACCAGCCCTTGGTAATCTCTGGTCTACCTTCTGTGTCTATGAATTTGCTTATTCTAAATACCTCATCTAAGTGAAATCATGGTATTTGTCGTTCTGTGTCAGCTTATTTCATTAAGTATAATGTTTTCAAGATTCCCATGAAATCAAAATTTCGTTCCTTTTTTTGGCCGAATAATATTCCATTGTATGTATATAGCACATTTTGTTTATCTGTTTATCTGTAATGGGTTACTTTCACCTTTTGGCTTTTGTGAACAACGCTGCCTTGTGCATTGGTGTTCAAATATCGGTTCAAGTCTCGGCTTCCCATTCTTTTGGCTGTATATGTATATACCTAGAAGTGGAATTTCTGGCTTATATGGTAATTATTTACATTCCCACTAGCAATGCTTAGGGATTCCAGTTTCTCTGTATGTGTGTCAACACTTGTTATTTTCCTTTTTTTCTTATTCTTTTTACTGTCACCATCTTGGTAGAGGTGAAATGGTATCTCATTGTGGTTTTGATTTGTATTTTTCTAATGACTAATGATGTTGAGCATCTTTTTGTATGGTTTTGACCATTCATTTTTCTTCTTTGGAGAAATGTCTCTTCAAGTCCTTCACCCATTTTTTAATTGGCTTATTTGTTTTTGGTTGTTTAGACTTTTAGGAGTGCTTTAAATACTCTGGATATTAATCCCTTATGTATGTGATTTGCAAACATCTTTAAACATTTTCTGGATTGCCTGTTTGTTTTCATGATAGTATCTTTTGATGCACAAAGTGCTTTATTTTGATGAAGTCTAATTTATCCTTTTTTTCTTGTTGCCTGTGCTTTTGCTGTTATATCCATGAAGTTGTTGCAAAATCTGTGTCGTGAGAATTTTCCTCTGTTTTCTGCCAAGAATTGTGCAGTTTTGGCTCTTAAGTTTAAGTTTATGACCATTTGGAGTTAATTTTTGTATATGGTGCAAGTAAGAGTCCAGCTTTGTGCTTTTACATGTAGCTAATCCAGTTTTCTCAGTACCATTTGTTAAAAAGACCGTCCTTTCCCCGTTGAATGTTTCTGATATCCTTGTGGATTGACTGTGTGTGTGAGGGTTTATTTCTGTGCCCTCCTTCTGTTGCATATGTCTGTCCTTATGCTGGTACTATACTGTTTTTATTACTGTAGCTTTGTAATTTCATTGTTGGGAAGTATGGGTCCTCCAACTTTATTCTTCCTTTTCAAGATTGTTTTGGCTGTTTAGTTCCCTTGAGATTCCACATGAATGTTAGGATAGATTTTCTTTTCTATTTCTGCAAAAAGTGCCATTGGGATTGCATTGAATCTATAGATGGCTTTGGTTAGTTGACATCTTAACAATGTTAAGTCTTCCAATTCATGAACATAGGATGTCTTTCATTTATTTGTATCTTCTTTAATTTCTTTCAACAGTGTTTTGTAGTTTTCAGCATATAAGTCAAGTCTTTTACCTCCTTGGTTAGATTTATTTCTAAGTATTTTATTCTTTTAGTGCTATTGCATTTTTTATTTTGTGCTGAGTTCTCCTAGTGTCACTTAGCAGCTTGCTGCCTGAGGATACGTATATATGCCTCATGGTCTTTGTGAACAACTGAAATTTGTTCATACATTTGTTATAGGTTATTGTCAGAAAGTAGTGTAGCTCCTGAGAAAATCCAGTGTGATATCTTGCATTAGGAGAACATTTTTGTTTATTGGTTGAGTCTCTTTTGAAAATGATTAATCACTCGTCCTCAGGGGCTGTGTATTCTCTGTGTATGTGCACAAATATTGCTGTCCCTGGGATTCAGAGAGGAGTGCTGCTGGTAGGTTGCTGTGTGTGAAAGCGAGTGTCTGAGGGGTGGAGAGTGCGAGAGAGAGGAAGGCAGACTGAAGGTTTGGGTTTCGTATAGCATCATACAACCAGTGTAATCTTTGCTCTTTAGAATAAACCTGTTCATTAAAGTGCTGGTATAAGTAAACAAGATGTGTGTCCTCCGTCTGTTTTTGTTGCATGTCTTTGGGGAGGTTTCTTGTCAGGGCCTCATATTTTTAGGCTTTATTTGAAATTCTGTTCTGAAATCCATAGACAGATGAAGGATAACTGACTTCCATTGCCCACAATTTTTGAGTGATATTTGTCCACACCAGAGAATTTATCCTGTAGAAACTTACCTAAGCGGGGGTGAGGGAAGTAAGGAGAAGAATATAAATCAGGTACAAAAGTAAAAGATAATTTTAAATTGAATTCCTGTTCCCTTGTTTGCCAACTTGACTGCATCCTCCCAGCCAGTTGAGTGGTAGTTGCCTGGGTTCGCTGAGTTTACTAAGAGCTTGATTTCTCTTAACGTGATCCTGGGTGTCTGTTGACCAGAGAAGATCCCAGAGATCCTGGATGGTCATCCTAATTAGCTGCTTTCTCCCCTTCCCAGATAAACAGTGGAGGGTACATTTTTGTTTTGATAATAATCAGGCTTATTGAAAGGTGGGCAACATCAGGAACTTATTTTTAGAAATTATTCTTTTGTGTGATGTATGCTGTTCTCCAGTGTAACAAAAACTTATAATTATCACTGGTAAAATCTTGACTGTATCAAGTTGGAAAGGTTTTTTTGATTTGTTTTGTTTGAAGAATTTGTCATATTCTTTCTCCATAAATTTTTTCTTTATAATGAAACCTTGACAGTTCTTTTTAGTGTCCTTTGTTAAAGGTCACTTCCCTCCTCAAGTGAAAGCTCATCTCTGTGAGCAAAAGCGTGAAAGGGGGCTCTGCTCTGTTAGCACACGCGGCTTGCGTGTCAGGTGCTCGGTCAGTCCCTGAATCTTAGCACAGCTGAAATGCCAGCAGAGCCCTGGAACACATCGTGAAGAGGAGGCCTGGACACGGAGGAATCCTGCGCAGTGTTTTCTGCGTGCATATTGGCAAATACCTGTTCATCCTTGCATGTCACGTTCCTGCAAACACCGCGTGTGCATCGCTCCAGCTTTCCTGAGCCTTTATCTTATCTGCGCTGAGAGACCTCAGAAACTGGAATATGACAAGGGATGTGTAGAAATGTGACATGTATTGGATCAAGCAGAAATCCTGGTTATGTCTGATTAGTTTTCCTTTTCCCCAGTGAATATTAGATTCTTTGTAACAATTAGAAAAATATTCAGATAGATTGACTACCCTATAGCAGTCAGTGACAAATATTGTGGTTCTCTTATTAATTGAATCTCTAATCTTTTTTTGTTTTGTCTCTTATGTATATCAGTGTTCTCTGATCTCTACAATATGCAGGAATTCTTTAGTAATACTGTAAATAGAAGCCTCATTAGAATTACAAGGTTCTTTCCACCCCTGGTTTTAAAGTAAATTTTATATTTAAATTAGTTAATCTGGAAATACATAGGGTGGACAGTATAATTAGATGACACCATTGTAGTGTTAATTCTTAATCTTAAGCTGTCGGTAGACTTTTGGAATCAATGATACATAAACTTCTGTTTTACCAAGTACAAATAGCAATATTAAATGTTGTGGAAATAATAAACACAGGTTGTAAACTTTAAGTTACTCTTAAATATTTCTTTTTTTCTTTTCTTTTCTTTCTTTCATTTATTTTTTCCTTTTTAGGACAGGAAAATAATAAAATGAAGTTCTCGGATATGCCCCCCGTAACAAACCACTTCCCTCAATCAAAACCGGACTCCCCAGGGAAATTAGAGCCTGAGAGACCAGATGATTCTCCCAGCTGTGTGGATATTCCAGAAGAAGCCCTGTCCTCACCAGAATCAGAGTCCTTTAATAGGTGAGGAACTTGTAGTAGCTGATTATTTTAAATTTCTATTTCCTGTGCATGCTTAAACAGGCGAAAATAACTAAAAAATAGCCTTGAGGCCTGGTGCTGCCCCTCTTCCCCTCCCCGCAGTCTCTGTCCGCTGCTTTGCAGGGTTCCTGATGGGAGCAAGGCAGGATCTGGAGACCAGTGCTGCAGCTCCAAGGGGCTTTGTTTTCTGCTCTGTGGCCTTTATGTAGATATTTTTCCCAGAGTCAGAGCATGATTGACAGTGACATTTTTATCAAGAGAATGAGTGAAGGAGATAAAGATAACTATACTGGAAAACAGAAATGACCAGGAAGACAAAAAAGAAAAATTTAACTGAGCAAATAGAATGGATGACGAAGCTTTAAAAGTGAGAGATTTGGAGGTGGGTCATTTTTCCAAGTGATTTTTTTTTTTTAAAGACATGATGTATTTTTAAAAGACCGAGATAAATTATTTCCTTATCTGTAACATCATTTTGACCCCGGGAGCTGTTACCATTGCCTTCTGAATGAATTATAGCAATTTCAAATGTTAACAGCATCATATAAATGTGTCTTGGAAATTATTTAACCTTTGATATTTGTTCATTTAAAAAATTGTTAACAGTACTCTAGAGTGAGAGCTGATGTCTAATCTAAAACATCAAAGTAAGAAAACTTTTTTTTGTAAGAAGAGTATATCCAAAGACCCTCTGCTTTCCTAAGGTTCTTGGGAAATAGTTTCAAATTATTCAGAACCAAGTATTAGGAAGAGTAAATCTTCTCGCTTTACCCCTAATATTTTCAAGGTACTGAAACATCGTATCTCAAGTTGGGGAAGAAAAAACCCACGGGAGCCGAGTTTTCTCCAAGAGTGTGATACCACTGCCCAGTTTCCTAGGATCAAGCCGTTCTTGCAAGTCCAGGGGGCAGTGTTTGTTTTTAAACACAAGTCTTATAGGAATACAGGGTAGACATGGAGGGAAAAACAGAGTCCAGGGAAGTAAGAGTTGGTTTTTAAGCACGGTCGTTAGATGCCTGAATGTTCCAGTATGCTGATGAAAAAGGACATTTTTATAAATTTGGAGTGGGGAGAATGAAGGAAGGTGAAAGGGGAGACACATGGCAGCCAGATGTGTATTTATCTGGTGGGGAGGGTGTGGGAAACAGAATCAGTTTGTTGGAGGTCTTGGCCGCAGACACACTGGCATCACTGAATTGTGAGAGGATTATTAAACCATTCATTTTTTTTTAAAGTGAGCCCTTATATTCTTCCACATTTTAGTTACACATGTATACATGTCTGTGCACCCCACCCCACACATTCATGACCAGTGGAACTACCTACTGATGGCAAATTTTTAAGTTTTATTAAGATATAATTTACATGCCATACAATTCATTCATTTAAGTTACAATTCGGTAATTTTTAGTATGTTCCCAGAGTTGTACACCCATCACCACAATTTAGGACATTTTCATTACCCTAGGAAGAAACCTCATACCATTAGCAGTCACTCCCCAGTTCCTCCCCAGTCTGCCAGCCCCTGGCAATCACCAGCCTTACTTCTGTCTCTGTAGATTTGCCTCTTCTGGGTATTTCATATAAATGGAATCATACACTCTGTCGTCTTTGTGACTGGTTTCTTTTGCTTAGCATAGTGTCTTTAAGATTCACCCATTATGTATCATATTTCAGTACTATATCCCCCTTTATTTCCAAATAATATTCCCTTGTATAAATATGCATTTTGTTTATTCATTTATTAGTTGATGGGCATTTGGGTGGTTTCTCATTGCAGTTTTGACAAGGACAAAACCATTGAGTTTGCTCGCACACTTTGGAGGCTTAGCTTTGGAGTCCATAAATGAGGCTGTGCCTGGCTTGCCTTGAGGAAGTGGCCACTGACTATTACTCATATCTCAAGCATGAATAAATGTTGTATACATTATAAATATTAAGTATGCTCATCTTTAACATTTTAACTTTATTTAGGTTCTTTTTTTATACCTTCCTTTTCATTTGCTCTGTTGTTTTATCAGTCTAAGATTTTTAAATTTTAAAGGTTGAGACTGTTCCTTCTACAAGATCTAGGAATTCAGGAAGGCTAGAGGGAGAGTGGGAACAAAGTAGTGGTTGGTCTGATACCAGGGCTTCCAGAGCAGACTGTTCAGTCCGTGTGCAGGGGTAGTGGCCACGGGGGAGCAGGAGAGCTGCTCGAATGACTTCAGCTCAGGATCTGCTGGGGGATCTGAGAGTCAGTCTTTTGAAGTCTGTTTCCAGCTGTGAAAAGCATATGTGAATATCTGATTTCTCAGATCTGTTGGGAAGATGAAATGAGATAATAGAATGTGGGAGTCTTTGATAAATATCTGATTCTAGTTTTATAAAGACCAAATCAGTTGAATTTTCGTCAGTAATACTTAAAACTTGGGACTCTATGACTGCGTATTTCAGAAATGCCTTCCTAGTCCTTGGTCCCTTCATTCTAATTCTTAAGCTACATCCTAGAGTAAATCCCACAGTATATCATTTTGTTCCTACTTCTGATCTTTAGAAAGTTGTGAGCTGGGCTGATTAGCTCCATTCACAATTCGTTTAACTTGGCCTTGGTGGGGCGCTCACCACACCACTGAGGTGCAGGCTTCTCGGGTTTCCCAGCACCCCTTCCAAATTGTGCTTCCTCGCTTGGAGTGAACACCTCGTCTCCCAGTTCACCACAGCAGCTAATCTGACCTGTTTCCAGGTCCTTCCCATTTTGAGGTTTCTTGTAATTTCTGACCTCTTCTTTCTTGTTAATTGTAAGAGAAAAATTTCTTAAGACATTTCTAGAGACATATTCTTTCTTAAGACAGATTCACCTACCTCCTCTAAGACACTGTTCCATCAGTAGTTCCTTAAGTTTGCCCTTGGATGGCCCTTCTTCTCTGCCCTTCCTCCAGTCTGTCTTCTCTTATTCTTCCCACTAAGCAGGAAGTAATTTCAACTTCCTCTGTGAATTCCTATAGCAGTGTCTCTGAATTCCAAAGCACTTTATCTAAATCAAATCTTACCATGTATTACAGTTATTTGATTATCTTTGTCATTCCTGTTATTACTCATCAAACTCCTGAAGAATTGAATCTGTCGCTCATTAAAAAAAAACCTCCTGTCTAGTGTCTTTACAAGACCTTTATTAAGTAAAGGATTGATTGATTCTAAGGTGTACACTTTCTGTTACACATTTTAATGTCTGAAGTTGTGAATGTGTACTGTAATCATTGATGCCTTGCAGTTGCTGCCAGCCAGGTTATGTCCTGATGTACTTGCCAGGGCGTGAGTTTCAGTTCAGTTACACATATTGGTAACATTACATTGGTTTGTCATTTAAAATGTCTTCAGCAAGATAATGAGAAAAAAACTTATCATGGATGAAGAAAGTAAGAAAAAGGATAGCAGGGTGTACGTTTGATGTTAGCAAGGTAGTGTTTACTCTTGGATGAAGACTGCAATTCTATGTTTTCTTGCAAGAACAGTCAAGTGATTCACAGGACCTAAAGATACGCACAAGTATCTGAAGACTAGTTATGTTTTCTTAGTGAGCTGTGTACGAAGGATTGCTTGTTTGTTACATGACCTACAGAAGGCCAGAGAGATGGTCAAATCCCTTGGAATAGATGGAAAAAATTTCAAAGTAGTTAACAGCCTGACTGATTCATCTGTTGCAAAAGACTGTTGTTAGGGTGTCAAATATCAATTAGTCAGACATTTCTTGCTGACTTTGAACATAAGCTACTTATCTTCCAGTCATGAGATGTGCCTGAGAAAGAAACAAAATTAAGAGTTCAGTTTGCAGAATGGGTATCAGTGCCTTAGATGAAATTCCTGGAGACAATGGTCAAGTAATTTTAAGAAATACTTTGTCTTCAGTGCTTTTGATAGTACAGAGGATGACTTTGTGAGGGGAAACTCAGACAGCAGAGATATTGAGTCCAAACATGATGAACAAGAGTGGGGCTCTGAGTCTGAAGGCATTTTAGGAACACTTTAACCAGTTTATTTCAATTTTTTTTTATATATACGCACATCAGTGGTAGAAGATGAAAACCTATGTCCACATATGTTTCAAAGAACTCTCTGGGTATGTAAAAATTAAAAATAATGGCTCATCTTGCTAAAATTTTTGAAATGCAGTATCTGAATATGAATACGGTCCCTGGCTCACTTGAAGCATAACTTCATCACTTAGTTGGAAACTCATAAAGTTGGTGGTAACTTGGCAGAAGGCTATCGCAAAGTGTACTGATCCATGGGTTGGTGCCAGTGTCATTCAGTAACTCTAAAACCTGCAGAATCAAAAGAGATGCCAAGTTGATTAAAGTAGTAACACCATAGAAATCAGGAAAACAATTTGCCCATCACAACCAAATGCCTTTACTAGAATCAAAGCATTTTAGAGATAAGTGGTCTTTATTTGTCTGGTCCAGCTTTTATTTTCCATAATATTCAGCCATCAGATGGAAGAGAGATAGGGCACTACACTGTAGTCCTGTTATTTGTGACAAGTGTAGTAGTTGGTAAATTATCTGTGTTCTTTGACCACTTGTCCATTGCAGACCCTGAGTCAGCCTTCTAGAATCTTACTTATTCTTTGTATATTGAAGTGTTCCTTGCTTTATCCCTTACATTTTCAAAAATTTTCTTGTTTTCCTATGATAGTTTAATTGCTTTCGTTGGGGAACCCTAAGTTTTTTAAAGTACTTTTAATTTAGATGTTATGCATGTTTGTGGTGAGAGATGGAAAATTTAGGTAACCAAAAAGTAAAATTTCGTAATTTTATCAGCCATAAATAACATTAACACTTTCATGTGTATATCTTTCTAAAGATAGTGGGGTGGATGCATGGGTAGATAGAGGAACATTTTTAAAACAGTAGTATCATAGTGTTTTTTTTTTTCTTAATGCTTTTTTTCTTTTCTTTTTTCTCTTTTTAAGAGACAAGTCATGCTGTTTTAGGTCTACT